GGGTCAGGAAGGACATAACCTAAAAATATTAAAAAAATATTTTTGAGAATGTCATCTAAAAAGGCAACCAGACCGCACTATTAAAAATTCGTGATCGAAAAAAGTGCATCGAAGACTCACCCTACTGTGGGTTCAGAGGTACGGGTCAGGCGCGGTATAAGAGGGGGCCGACAGGGGCGGGGGGTGTACTGTGGGTTATACAGGGGTGTTGTAGTACAAATTGCCTACCTTTCAGGCGGCTCACTAGAGACGATTGCCCCCCCCCCCCTTATACAGCGCCTGGTACGGCTGATGGTGCAGGGTATCCCGCTCTTACTCACCTCACTGCACCACGGGCACTTCCTCGACACCATCTGCTCTGCGCAGGACCAGCATGCCGTGTGCCCACACGGCAACCCTTTGGGCAGTCGGTAACTGGTGTCGTACCGCTCGGTGCAGATGTTGCAGGTGATGCACTCCATGGCGGCCTCCAGCAGGCGGTCAGCAGCCGGCTCCTCCCTGCGAGTCATCTGTCAACGACGAGAGGGTCATAATTGTGCTCCACTCTTGACCCCTGGCCGGCGGTTGTTTTGTACAAAGCAGTTTGTTGGGCTGCCGACACCCAGGTGCGATTGGCTGCCTAACCGCTGGGCGAGAGACGCGATCAAAGAGTGCGACTGCGGGCTAGGGGCAATTAACGTTGTATTTCGGCTAACGGAGGAAGAAAAATTAGCAGGTTATACAGAATGAACATTAACAATTGGTCGAGAGCTTCCCGCTTTAACGTCACTCCGGTAGTAGGGGTAAAGGCTCGACGAAGCGGGAACCTTTGTTCTATACCCGTTATTCTTCTCCCTCCGTTAGCCAAAATACAGGGTGGTCCAGAGACCCCTTCTTTTATTTTGCTTATACTGTACCGGATGCAGTAGTGCGTGCTGGTTGCATACTCGAACGGGGGCGGGCCGTCGCTACCGCTCACCGCGGCGCCTTAAAGGCCCCGTTCGAGTATGCAACCCGCCCGCACGGCTGCATGCGGTACAGTATAAGCAAAATAAAGGAAGGGCCTATGGACCACCCTGTATCACTATACTGAAAGAACGAGTGAGTCACCGCGCACATACGATGAGTGCAACAGCAGTGTGACGCCGTTATCGCGAAGGAGAAAATAATAATAACAAACTGACTCCGGCCGATATACCTAAAAGATGTTTTAGTGGCGGAGTTGTTGGTTCTATCAGAGAATGATGTACTACTGAGTCGTCTGGTCCTTGGTCTATTTCACACACTTTTTAACCAGCACAATTAGCATCCCACACTCACCGTTGCCTACTTGGCGACTGCTCGTCTCCAGCGCCCCGAGGGCTTCCCTTGCCTCGCGGCCGCGCTCACCGCGGCCACCGGTCGCCAAGCGGCAGGCGCGACGGAGGAGGGGTGCATTGCTGAATTGCACTTTCCGCCGCCGTCGCCTCTACCGCCCGCGCCGCAGATATTCGATACTTATTGAAGCCCTCGTTATCTACCTATAGCAGCGCCACGGCCCCTTTTCAGGCGCGGTTTTAAGTCCGTCTGACGGAGGGGGTGATTTGCTGTGGGTTGCCTACTTTCAGGGGTTTTGTAGGACAAATTGCCTACCCACCCCAGGGGGCGATTTGGGCTGACGGGGGGG